CTTACTCTACTATGATTTCCTTTTTTACGGCATAGCAGAATGAAAAAATACAAGTTACTCTGTAGGTGTTGTCATTCAGGAAAATGTCTGTGACCAATATCAATAAAATAATATAGAAATGATTAATTCATTCATCAAGAACAAAAAACCAATACAGCCAAATAATTTCAAAGAACATCATTAACCAAGGAAACTAAAGTGTCAAACTTAAGCTTATTAATTCAGTCCTCAAAATAAGTACATTGAGGTATATTAAAAGTACCTCAATTGCTTATACTCTTGATAATATTCACTTATTTTTTTGGATTAATAATAGGATGGTTTATATTTGGCCGTCGTACAGTGCGGGCGCGTGTTTATTACCTTGCGTTGTAGTGCGAAAAACGAGTTATACTTCTGCGAATCTTAGAGCAAGATATCTTAGTTCAACTAGATCTGAGGAAGAGGAGATTGTAAACCAGGAAATGGCATGGCTATTGCTGAAATCAAAGAAACATAAAAAGCTAGTGCGAATCCTGATAATTCAGGAACACATATTCCTAAGAAACCGAAGATACTTAAACCTCCACTTGTGATTGTTACCATTAATAATGTTAAAGAATACGATCAAATTAAGAAATCTCTCCCTTGACCAAAAAATTTATGTGGATCTGCATGTTGAATGCTGAGTGCTGACTCAAATCATGGAACATGAGAATCCAGGATGGCACTCCTATGAAAACAAGTAAGATTGGTCTATCAGGGTTATGGTAAGAAATTTGCATCCATCTTGTTCTTTGAGGGATATGATCAACTATCTAAAATTCCAAAATATTCACTTCGGAGCTGAAGAGTAAAAGGACTGCAGAAGGCCTCTTAATTTTTTATTATTTTTCGTTATTTGTTCTAACCTTCGATAAATCTGATGATAGTAATTTTGCAAGCAAATTGATTCCACAGTGTAAGAGGTGTCAAAGGTATGGGGACATACTCAAAAATACTGGAGACGTGATGTGTTTGCATCAACTTTGTAAAGAATCACCTTACTAAAGATTGCACAAAATCGAAACCCCTTCCTGCCAAGTATTCCAACTGCTGCAAGGCTCATCCAGGCAACTACATAGGTTGTGAAATTGCTAAGCAGCTTCAGAAAGGCAAGACTAAAGCTTGAAGTCCACCTGTCGCCCAAAGATCATTTGTTACGAACAGCACCAAGCCAAACACGTCTTATGATCAAGCTACTCAGAATCATAGTCAACCGTAAACTAGTACTAGTACTGATATAGACAGTTGAAGTTGAGGAAAATTTCTATATATACTAAGTGACATATAAATCTGAACACCCAGTTTAAATGGTTTTATTTTAATAAAAGTTGGTGAATGTATTTATCTTACTGTAAATAACAAGTGAAAAAATTTTCAGCCTTATCAGTTGGACATTCCGGTTTTTATACTGCTTTTTTTTAATTCACTAACGCTCTAAAAATGAATATTTCAGCCGCAGTAAAGAATCAACGTTGGCGGATTTTGGTTCTTGACATCCTTTACGATCGGTTACGATGCCTAGAGTACGGAGACCTGTACGATTTCGTCAACTTAGTGAGTTTGATAGGGGCCGTATAGTGGGACTTCGGGAAGCTGGACTTTTCGGACAATTGCAGTAGAGTGCAAAGAAGTGTAGACACTGTGGTTAGGTGTTGTCAGGCATGGCTTCGAGAAGGCCGTACGCAAAGAGCAAGGGGCACTGGACGCCGCCGTAGAACAACAGACCGTGAAGATCGCCGCCTAAGACTATTGGCCTTAAGGGACCGTTTCTCCACTACCAGGTCCATTGCAAATGAATGGTTTGCAGAACACGGAAGACCTATTGGCATGCGAAGTGTTTACCGACGAATGAGAAGTTTTGGCTTGTTTTCATACCGGCCACACTGGGTCCTCCCTTTAACTCGAGAACACCGACGTAATCGCCTTGAGTGGTGCAGACAATGGTCACTCTGGGATCAGGAATGGAACAGTATTGTCTTTAGTGACGAGTCTCGATTTTGTTTAGGCATGCACGATGGTCGTGCCAGGGTTAGAAGGCGACGTGGTGAAAGGAGGAATCCACAGTTTTTTGTTGAAAGACATGTTCATCACACTGTTGGAGTTATGGTTTGGGGTGCTATAGCTTATGGTTCCAGGTCACCTTTAATCTTCATCAGAGGTAACACGAACGCGCAGCGTTATATCCACGAAGTTCTAGAACCCCATCTTTTACCCTATCTTGACACCCTGGCAGATCCAACTTTTCAACAAGATAATGCCCAACCACTTGTTGCAAGAGTCACAATAGACTTCTTTCAACATAATGATGTCACATTGTTACCATGGCCACCAAGTCTCCCGACTTATCCCCAATTGAGCACGTGTGGGAGATGATGGGTAGGAGATTGCTCAATTTGCAATGTCCTCCTCAGACTCTAGAAGCACTTCGAGAGGAGTTGGTGGTTGCCTGGAATGAGATTCCACAGGAGGACATTGTCCACCTGATCAGAAGCATGCCTAGGGAGAATGCGTAGCACATCAGGGTGCATCCACACATTATTAAAGGTCAAAGGGCTTTAAAGCAGTGCAATCATTTTGAAATTTTTATCATTTACTTATTATGCTTCATTAAGTACTTATACAAAATTTTATTAAAATAAAACCATTTAAACTGGGTGTTCGGATTTATATGTCACTTAGTATAGATTCGGATCCCTCAGTAGATATTCTCTCAGTGAAACAATAATCAAGAAAGAAGAGCACCTTACCACCATCATCCCATTGCAGTCAAATGCTAAATATTTAGGTATGACTTGACATCAGGCTCAAGTGGAAGCATCATATCATAAAATAAAGTAAGAACTGAACTTCTGTTACAAGTAATATTATTGGTTACATGGAAGATCCTAGCTATTGCTCCATAGCAAAATCATGATCTATAATCAGATCTTAAAACCACTGTGGGTCTATGGTTGTCAATTATGGGGCTGGTCCAAGAATTCCAACATAAAAGTTATTCCAAGATTTCAATATAACGTTCTTGAGGACCATGGTAAATGCCCTTTGGTATGTTCGTAATACTGATATTCATCGCGATTTGAATATCCCTCTGGTTATCAACGAGATCAAAGGCTGCATCGGCACCCCAATGCAGAAGCTCTTCACCTGCTGGACAACTACAATTCCGTCCGAAGATTGTAGAAATAGTCCACTAAATAAAGGTCAATTACTGTTTTGGGTGCTTCAAGGTGTCTAGCTGAAGTTACAGACCACAGGAGGTGTCTGGCTGAGCCGAATAATAATAATAATGTTTCACAAAGTATATATACAGTAATGGACAAAAGTATATAGACAAATTAATATTGTGCTGTATTTCTTTTTTAACTTGTTTTATCAATACACCAACCTGTATACATAATTCGTTATAGGATAATACTCATTTATACATAAATAAATTCTTTAGACTCCCTTCAATAAAAAAATAATTGAAAAAAACTGGAACAATGAAGGACAAAAATATATAGACAAAGCAAAACAATTATAGAAAAAAGAAGCAAAGTTCATTGAATTATAGAAAACCAACCATGTTTGTGTTAATATTTGGTAGCATAACCATTATTATCAATCACCGCCTGGCATCGTCTCGGCATAGTCCGTCTCCACTTTTGCTCTAAAGCGGCAAAAAGTTCATCCTTGTTTGAATAATTTTTATCTCGTATTTGCTTATTTAAGTATTCCCATAGATTTTCAATGGGGTTTATATCGGGAGACTGTGAAGGTCATTTGAGAACTGGTATTTTTTCATCCAGAAAGAATTTCTTTGCGAGATTTGAAGTGTGCTTCAGGTCATTATCTCAATATTGCCCAAACTGCTTTACGCTTCAGCTTCAAATTTTTCGCAATGTCGACTGAATGCCCTAAGTTTTATTTTTGAGAAAAAGTCTTGAGCCAGATATCTGCTTGTTGATGAGATACAGGGGGCTGAAATTTAATAATCAGAATTTTTATGTATTAACTCATTTTATAGCAACTCGAGTAAACATGTGTGTGTAAAATTTTAAACTTATCCTTTGTTTTTTATGCTGATAGAACTCCATGTTTCTCATGCCAAATGAAACCACATATTTAGAAACTAGCTTTCTACCCGCGGCCATGTAGGTTTTATCTCAAGAATTGGTAATAAGGTCCCTTTGGGTTTGTCACCCAGAAGAGAAGTTACGACAAAATTTTACTTTACGAGACATTAAGTACTGAAAAAGGTTATAAAATTCTAATAAAAAGTGTTACACAAACTCCCCACCCTCCTCAGTAATGAATTTTCGCAGTGTTAAATTACAGTTTATGAAGAACATCTCTGCAAAATTTCAAGCGTTATTGAGTTAGCACCCTCTTCTGTAGAGGCTTCGACCCTTTAGGTAAAGTTATTTCGTAGCGAGATTAGACGCTGTAACTAGTGCCCTACTACATAGTATTTGAAAAATACATTAAAATAGTATTTCTCATCCGCAGAAACCTCCGTTCTCATTTTCATGTTGCCATTAGAGCTTGAATGATAGACAAAAAACAATTTTCAAAATTGAACTTTAACAGCCTGTATCTCATTAACGAGCTTCATTCTACTAAGGCATATTTGACTCAAAAGCATTATTTTTACTTTATTTTAGGATTGCTTTGTGGCAAACTTATTACGGACCTGCCTGTGTCTTTTAATACAGGGAGCTCCAATGAGTAACGTGGAATGCTTGAAAAAAATGTGATATCTTGGAACGTTTTCGTGGTTAGAATGCTTTCACTCATGTGCGTTCTCAGAAGACTTCCGTTAGCCTGACTGATCGTGAGACTCTAGGCTCTTATCTGTTTTGTACCACCCTCGGCATATTATGTTGAACTCGTGAAGCGTGTTTTATGACGACCGTGTATATGACTTTCGGCTCTGTTCTTCCGAACAGGTGATTAATAAGATTCTGTTTGACCGGAATTACTAACGCTCTGTCCTTTTTTATAGGGACGAGAGCGTGGTATTATAAAATAATAGTGGCTGTGTAAAGTGAGAGTGCAAGAACACCGGAATGGCCGACGAAGCACCCTCTTCCATCTCTGGGGAAAGCATACCGGAAGTCTCTTTAGAAACACCCTTGGTGGTTCGTCAACCGACACCTGAGCCAGAGCAAGAATCTCCATTAATCACCCATGAAATGACAGAAACCCAACCACCGGGTCCTTCGTCCATGGAGATGAGTATACCAGGTGCTTCAATGGAAATGACTACAACTCCCATGGACATACCTGTATCGCAAACGCCTTTGCCTGGAGCTCCAATGGCTGTCCCGGTTGAGATGACTACTGAGAACGCGGAAATGTTACAGACCAAGATGGAGATGGGGGAGGCGAAAGTGGAAGATCCCCCAAAGAAGATCACAATATGTATCAAGACACCTGCGGAGAAAGAAAGCTTCGATGTAGACGAGAACGTAAATGTGAAGATATTGAAGGAGCAGATTGCTTCGAAGTTCAGCGCCGAACCAGATCAGCTTTGTTTAATCTTCGCCGGAAAGATCATGGATGACGTGGATAATATTCAAGATGTATGTGGTAGTATGGGAAAACTTAGGGTAGGATGATGAACGAAAGTTGTACTGTTTCATATGCATAAATTATAAGACGTAAGCTAGAAAGGCTACTGCGTTTACCGGGTAAGTAGTTTTAGTCATATATATACACATATATATCCTAATAGGAACTTTTCATGTCGAATCATGAGTGTGATGATTGGAAAACTCGTTCATAACCTCTACACGCCAAATAGTTTCTGAACTATCTATTTATTGCATAAGGATCGTTATACATTGCATCTAAGGTATACTAACCTTTTTGTTGGTCAAATATCAAGGTAAATGAAAAATATTACAATACTTTCAAAATAAAAATAGCTATCAGTTGATAACAGGAGAACGTTAAAATTGGTTTATTTTCATTATAAAGTCTACCCAACGTTATGCAGTAAAGTCGCAATACTTGGAAAATATTTTTTCTACAGGGTGATTCATTACTGACCTTTTTGTCAATTGCATATCAAGGTAATAAAACTGTACTGTAATATTAGCTAATATGCTAGTAATACCACATATTCCTTTTCCTCAGTTACTACAGTTTTGGACCTCATATTTGACAACCAGTAAGTACAAGTAAAACGATCCATTACATTCTGAAACACTTCTGTTTTTGGGTGTCTGCTTTCAGGATATCGCACACTGGGTAACGAAAATCTGAAAAGCGGCCATAAATCCAGACATAAGCTGAATGGATTTGAAATGCGAAACTTTTGATGAAAAAAAAAGTAAAAAAATGAAAGCTGTTAGGGGTGACCTAGGGGGCATTGATTAGACTTTTCGACCATTTTGCCATATCAAATGTATGTAAAAAAATATTACATGTATCGGGAGAAATCATAATTATATCAAAATATCAAATATTCCAATATCACTGAAACTAAAAGTGTATATCGCTGAATCATTTTTCATCCGCGTCATCTTCCTCGTCGAAGTAAGTTCTCAGCTTCGCCTATCAAACTGTAACCTTCTTGGATAATTTGGTTCTAATGATTCTATTGAGGGTGCAACCAAGAAGAAAATAACATTCGAACATATATTTGAATTTTTTCGGGGTGGGCATTGCCGCAAAGATGAAATTACCGGATCGGAAATTATAATGAATCGCACTTGACGATATAATAAAAATCACGTGAACGCATACAATGAATAAACATGTATAATCTCCTTACGCCATTCAAAGGGGTGAAAACAACTCCGAAAACCCAAAATCGGTTTAGACGACATGATGAAAATCACTATCATGAAAAGCGCATATTGCAAAAAGTGCTTACTGTCGATACATAAAAACGGGCGTATTCTCATTCCTTTACGTTGGCCAAGGATTAGCAGACACCGACGGAATTGTGTGACATGATTTTTCGTCATGTACATGTCATTTAATATCCAAAAAACATATCTCATTTTCAACTTTTTGTGATTACAGTACTTCCTCGCCAGTGTCGTAGGAAGTTATGATTTGTATTTTGTTATCGTTCTAGGATGCTTATAAATGCTAATAAATACTGGTTCTAGTGGGTTAACAATCTATATCTTACTATTTATTTGACTCGTGATTTTCACGAGTTCAATGTAGAACTTTGGTGCTTTCATAACGGACCACCCTGTAGAATGGATGTTTTTGAAGAATACAAATATTTGCTTTCTTATTGTTCATAATTAATTTACCTGAACGCAGTTCAACTTTCTTTCAATCGTCCAATGTCACCATATTTCTGACTCTAAACTCATTTCAAATAACATGTTTCAGCATAACATTAAAGATGGTATGACTGTTCACTTGATGATTCGTGCGGCGCCACGCGCTTCTGAAGCGGGTCCTCAAAGGCCTCCTGCTGATATTTCGGCCACCCCATTCCATCTGGGCTCTCTAGGAGGACTTTCTGGACTCCAATCGCTTGGTATGGGAACCACCAATTTCCTGGAGATCCAGAACCAAATGCAGAATGAGCTGCTCACAAATCCGAACACGCTTCGAAATCTGTTAGAAAACCCATTGGTGATGCAGCTCATGAATAATCCAGACGTGATGAAAAAGCTTGTAATGAAAAATCCACAGATGCAGGAATTGTTGCAGAGGTAAGAGAATGAGGAGTCTTGTAGATTGTAGAGAGTAGTTTTTTAGTTCTATTAGTCACGATGACATTCAAGAGCTTCATTATGGGTAATAAGTTACTGCATGGCGAACATCATCAAAACCGAATTTATTGCTATTAATTACCACTGTGTATTACAATTATGAAGTATACTCCGTTGGGATCAGGTCTGATTTTTTGATTTCCACTAAGGCCCAATTTCACGGGTATAAAAAGGTACCGGGTGTGCCATTAATAAAAGACGTCACTTGACCAAGACTATCGGTCAAATAATTGTATGTGTCAAAAAAATGCTGGAAATGACAGCACCCAGCCTTGGAAATTCTACCCCTATTACAAATATTTCACTCAAAAATCTCCGTACATTACCCCTTAAAACTTAGAAAAATATTCTCAGCCGCTAGCCATGATGAGTGTTGTGCTGTTCTGGTATGGTTTTACACGCTATGCTCATACTGTGCAGTCACGTCTAAGCGGTGCTAAGTATCGGAGAGAGGCGACGTTGTAAGATGCACTTCCGGTAGGGTAGGGAATAATGTATATGGACTAATTTATTGTATGGACCTGTTTAAATGATTTGATCTGTTTAATTTTTCTGTTGTACTTAAAAATATACTATTCATGTGTCGGTTTCATCATCTCCAATTTGAGCTTGCTAACTTCACCCGTTCAAAAAATCGGTGGTGGACCTTTCTGAAAAGTACTGTATGTGAAAAGGTCACATGGATTTGATTGATGGAGTTTTCATGTTTTATGTTGTAATTTAATATTTTGTATGATTTACATTATACAAAAATAAAATCTGATATTACGCATTTGTAGTTATTATGTACGTTAATCTTGCAGGTATCCGGAGATCGGCGAGGTGCTCAACAACCCCGAGCTTCTGAAAAACACATCCGAGTTGGCAAAAAATCCGTCTATGCTTCAAGAGTTGATGCGTAGTCATGAAAGGCTACTTGGAATTGATCCTGCTTCACCAACATCTGTGACTAATCCTTTACCGAACCTCTTCCAGAACATACAGGAACCGGGACTTACTTCACTTAGGTCACAGTTCCAGTCGAGCACTAACACAATGCCAGGAACTGGTGTGATGTATCCCCCACCGCTAGCCAGTTTATTGCAGCAGATGTCTGAGAACACAACATTGGTACAGAACATGTTGCAGGCACCATATACTCAAGCCGTCATGGAAGCCATGGCTGCCGATCCGAATATTGCTCACGCACTGTTGACTCAGAACCCCCTCATAACAAATAATACAGTGCTGCAGGATCAGATGCGAGCAATGATGCCACAGATGATACAACAAATGCAAAATCCTGAGATACAGAACCTCATGACAAATACACAGGCATTGGATGCAATTATGCAGATCCAACAAGGCATGGAACAATTACGTCAAACAGCACCAAGTATGGTACACACGATGGCACCACCGCCTCCAATCCCACCGACCGGCCCCCCAAATGAACGGGACACTGTTACGGGAGGATCCAAAGACGCTTTTTCCGAGTTTATGGCAAGAATGATCGCTAGTATGGCGGCTAAACATGACAACTCCATGCCTCCAGAACAAAAGTACCAAGCGCAGCTAGAATACTTGTCAACAATGGGATTTAAGGATAGAGAAGTAAATTTAAAGACTCTAATTTCTACTTTCGGAGATGTAAACTCTGCAGCCGAAAAGTTGTTACGACAAGGATTCTTGACTCCATTAACTCCAGCGTCCAGTAATTTTGAAAGTGCTCCAAATAGCATGGACAGTGCTGCAGCAAGTGTTCATTTGAGTCCAACAGGTAGTAATCAGGTGAGTCCGGCTGCCAATGAGCCTGTGACTGGAGTTGAACAAGAACAACAACAAGATGCTTGACTTCATTAAATATTTTTTGTTCAATTGGTGTAATAAGAACTGCTAAATATGGCAGTAATTATATCTTGGTAATAATTCGTTTGTGCTGTCTGAAATCCTATTTATTAATCAAAAAACAATTGAAACATGTTTGTATGGAACTGAATGATAGAGGCTTCTCAAGCTCTAAATTATTGTCTTTTATGTTTTGCTCCATATGGAACCCTATGTATGTATGAGAGAAATAAATGAATACTTGAAACGTTTTATTGTATTATTTAAGACAACATTAACTCGTTATCGCCTTCTGATCTCATTTTTTAAAATGATGTAATCTGGAAGCTTTGCTCGTTACAGTGGCTAAAAAAAATGCCCACCTGTTGCATAGAGCTACCTCATAGCTATCTACTTCACTTACTTTTTTCATTTTTTGGTACCCTATAATGCCGCAAAATATTAATTCATATGTTACAAATATTTTTGGGATTGCAGTCTGCTGGTGGAGACGGCTTCATTAGTGCTTTTGAGAGCAAATGCTCATGTGACAAGAATTGCATTTTCTGTCAATTTTTTCCCAGTGGTCTTTTTTTGGGAAAACTCTCCCAGTTCCCCCGTGGATCCGCCACTGTGTGTACGTATGGAGGTAAGTCTTCTCTAAGTACACTGTATCCTCTAAGTACACTTGATCCCAAGAACGTTTTATTTTCTACGCCACTGGTGAGAAGGTATTGCAATCGTGAAAAATTTCGAAAATGTGATTTTTTTATTTTTGATATATTACATGCACATCACAAAAAACATGTTATTTTCATCAGTCTCTGTCCGGTAATCCTTGGCCAGCCTATAACTTGAAAAGAGAATAATATTGTATATACTATACCAATAATGACGAAGCTTTTTAGTTTTTGAAAATCGGTCCAGTAGCGGCAGAGCTATAGGCAAAATACGAAAAAAATGCCCAAACTTCGATTTTTGGCGTTCCATCAGCCTCCTGATCACATTCTGAAAAAAAATTGTAGGGATTAAAAATTGGGTTGTAGTAGGTGATTGAGGGTATATGTCATTTTTTTTAATGTTTATATACTCCGAACCCCGGTAATTCTATGCTCCTAATAGACATATTTCACACATAGATATTACTGTACATTTGTCCGTAAAATTTGTTTTCGATGCACATCTCGGCTATCTTAGGTATAGAGGAGGAGCTGTTTGACTTGATCCGTTGGATTTCTGTTGTTCATGTTCGTAACTAACTTTTTTCTCAGATGGTCTATTTTGTGCTGAACATAATCCGTTATGAACTGATTGAATCGGAAGTGCAGGGTCAACCTGCTTGACGCCGTTTTTTGTAATACGTTACCAAGTTAATGACGGTAATACGAGTATACAAACTACTGCTAATAGGCAAATAACATCACAATTATGCCAAAAATCTGAACTATTCTAAATTTCTTTTTGTCACTTGATTCTATGGGATACTTGTGACGCTTTTTCCTCTGCGCCACTAACGACGAACTACCTGCATCTCTAGTCTAGCAACTCCTCGGGTGTCTGTTCAAAGTGTGGATACAACACTGGACTGGAACAGTCATCCTTGGCAGCTTCATTGAAAAAAGATTTAAGGAATTTTATGCTTAATGTTCATATGGGCAGGGGTATGTTCATTCACTAACGGAAAATATATACACTTCATTCACGGGCAGGGTATCTCAAGTATTTACAAATGAGATAAATCCCTAACAGAATTCAGCTACCCTACTAATAGAGCGGAGAAGTAGAACAATAATTTTTCTCGGGGTTTAACGGAATCCAAAGCTATCAAAAGCAACGGTTAAAGCGTAAGCTAGCAAGCAGTAATGGTGCAATGCGATAAGCACAACGCGCGGAGCGGTGTGCAGCAATACTGGCGTGAGCAAGTCTTTAAGTAGAAGACCAGGCGTTATCGATGACCCGCATCTACTACAATATTTGCCTCATTCTCGCTTGGATTTCAATCTGCACCCCAGGAAAGTAAGCACGCTGTGAACAAAGATGAGCATCCCTGACTTGCTGATTGAATTCCAAAGCTATGTTAAAAGTCCTAAATTCAAGCCGCGTGTATTTGTAAATGTACAGTCTGCGAAAATCAAGTTTGACAATTTTGGCCAAACAAAGCTAAACATGGCTTCAGGGTAAGCTAATCTTAAAATACTTTTCGGCGTCTTGTAGAGAAAGGTTTGAGCTTTAATTAAGGGCCGTATCGTCAGTCGTTCCTACAACTGTAGGACACCTTTATGGCCTCCTTGATTTTCATAGTCTTTTCTCTCTCCTATAGAAAGGATGGAGTATTTCTAGATTTCTACTGTTCCGTGTCAGCGTCAGCGCTCCCCTGTTGGGAAGTTATGTTTTCCTTTTGAATTGTAGAACATTTCAGGGTGATGAAACATAATATACATCAAAAGCATGAACAATTTGATGGAAATAGATAGTTGTGACATAACCTCAAAATAGAACGCTGACACGGAACAGTAGAAAACTATGAAAATCAAGGACGTCATAAAGGCGTCCTACAATCTACAATTATAGGAACGACTGACCATACGACACCTAGACACTCGACAACCTCAAAAATGATGTTTAACAGAGCTTGTGAAAGAACAGAATGCGGGTCATTCCCTAGTGAACAACGTTCCCATTACGTGTTTTCGCAGTCGTTGAGTCCAAATCAGATATCACTTTGTCGGTAGGAAGGATTTTGAAGGGTATTTTAAGGTTAGTCAAAATATATGTTCAAAAAAGTTGGATAACATCTCCAACCATCTGCCATAATATTGCAGAATATAAGGTTATATTTCTCAATAATTTGCAAAAGTTAGCAAAAACTGTAGCTACGTACTATCTGGCAGTACTCCAAGGCTCACGAACAATTTACATATTTCAATTGGGGAAAAGGGTAGAACCTTATTAAAAACCTCTGAATAATATTAACATAAAGAAGTGCAGGTACCTACCGCTAGTTCAAATCTACGGTGAATTTTAACTCAACTTTGCCAAAAGCACTCTACATTATATGCACTGGTATTAACCTTGACCAATTGAGCTGAACTTTTGTGTGCCTGTCTGGTTCGTGTGGCAACACATAATGAATTAACTGGCGCCATTTTGAATCTAACATGGCGTATTCTACATAATGGCGATAATATGATGAAGGCAGCAATTTGGCGATTTAAAATTTCTAAAGTCATATAATATGGATATCAGAGGAAAGGGCTTAGAAACACAATAAGCAAATTAAATATGTCGACCGCCGCAAGAGGGCGTTTACATATAATTTCTATAGTTACCCCTTCGACTGAAAGGGCTTAAGATATAGGAAGCAACGTGACATTCTAGATCCAATATGGTGGCAGCCGCAAAATATCGATTTATAATTTCCATTGATATGGGTGTCAAATGAAAACACTTGTTGAAGTAAACACAATAAGCAAAGTGACGTCATTCTAATCTAATATGGCGGACGTTTAGTATGATAATTGACATTACAATATAATTATGACATGGAGATGATCTGATGAATCCAGAAAGTGGCTATGGAAATCCATCGAATAGAGCCTCTTTAGAACCTGTTATGATGTTTACTTCGTATTTAGTTTTTCATGTAATATAATTACATAAAATGAAATTTGAGAATAATTATTGTTATAATTATTTTTGCTGTGAAATAATAATAATTTTTAAAAATATTATTCGTTAAACTTAACATATGTGTATACAGGGTGACTTCGAAGTTGAGTCATTTATTTTAACAGTGAGTAGATCTGATCAAAAGAAATGTTTTTTTCCTTTACCATTTTCCTGCTAAAATTAAAGTAACAAAGTTATAGCCCTTTGGAAGTTTGAGTACCGCCCTGTCTCAATGTGCTCGTGTTTGGCGACAACGGATATAATCCGCCGTATCGGTTCATCGCATCGGAAACAAAAAAGCGAAAGAATTTGGAACGATGTTTTTGCAATTGTTTCATTCATTTGTATACAGTCAGTGTCAGTGAATAGTGGTATCTGTTGCGTGGCTCAAACGAAATAAAAAATGGCACATGTTTATGCGGATCGGTTTCCCAATCGAGTGCAACCAACCCCTCGTGCCTTTGTTAATGTAGTACAACGGGCTCGTGAATCAGGTGACTTAAGACCTCACAGGGGACCTCACGATCAAATACAGGTCCGCACTGAAATACTTGTCGGGAGGATACTTTATAAAACAAGGTAAACATTTTTTTTTATTTTTACACACATATTTTGGTTTATCTTCCTTCTACAATCATTATCTGAAAATTAATGACTCAACTTCAAAGTCACCCTACCCTGTATAAGAAAACATGCTGTTTTTAGTTTATTTAATAATTATTTTTGCTAAATGCAATTTAATCATTAAATTGAATTATTAGATGTTGAAAAGATTTACTTTTGTGCTATTTCGGTGACTTTTAATATGAATAAATTATATTAAAATAGAATATTATTCTGCAAGAATAATATAAATAGATTATGAAAACTACTGAAATTTATTTTTGCAGAGTATAGAAGCAGTAAACCACATGTTACAGCTTTTTGATTTACGACAATGAAAGACGGATATTCATTTACTTTTGTTGTGTCGTAATAATACTATTTATTTAGTTTGAAAAGAGCCAGAATTTTGAACTCAATTTTCAAATACTTCGATTTTTACATTATACTGCCTTTTACCTGAGTACGGCGGTACATACCATTTCACTATGTCCATTTCCTCCACGGAACACCCTGTATATTCGCTTTCCAATATTGACGGAACTAAGTTATCGATCAGGGATAGAAAGGTAGACATCTCGTGATTGCGCGTATGTTGTATTGGTGCGGTTGCCGAGTGACGGCTGGGCAGTGGTAACACGCGATATGATCATCATGGGCATGAGGGGGGTGGGCGGAGGATGGGAGATGTGGCCAGCCCTACCATCTTTAATGTCCAACCGGTAAATGCGTAGCACGCTTAAAAATGTAGTTCA